TTTTTGCTCAACAAAAAATCCTTGGTGTTCCTCATAAAAAAAATATTGTTTGTTGTTCCTCGGTCTTAAAAAGTTTAAGAAACACTGCTCTAGGCAGCTGCCTTCCGCTCCGAAAGGCCCTGTCCTGCTATATAAGCATAAGCCTGATTCCTCCCTGCGCCTGGCCCCTTTGCATGGCCGTGAAAAGGGGCCTTGAAGCAGAGGTACACCCACTGCAAGGGCAGCTGAAAACTGGCTTAAATGGGCTGCGGAGGACTGGGACTGGCGGCCCTAAGGTGAAACTGACCCCTACGCAGCAGCCTGTTCTCACCCAGGGCTCTCACCCAGGGAGAATTTCAGCCTGAGTGTCTCTCGCCGTTTTTCCCAGGAAGCGAAGGAGAGCAGCCTATCGACGTGAAACGGCAGGGAGATTTTAAGAGCTCCCGGGCCCCACTGGAATTCGGCCCCGGCGTTGTGTGACACAAATGTCCCTCACAAAAGGCTTCTGTGTCACGTGCCGCTGGCCCCGGGGCCTGTGCCCCCTACTGGATCAGCTACCCCACTCCCTGCAGCATAGCACCCCCTAGTGTTAGTCCGGGGCACTTGAAGCGGCACGGCCACTGACGGGACAGGCCGACTAGGGAGACACGCCCGCCAGATTATTAAAAAGCTACTGCTGTCCATTAAGTTCCTGAACGGACAAGCAGAGAAAGGAGAAGAGGGCAGAACGTGGAATAGGTTAGAAGGCACAGGGAAACCAACTCCCCAGCAGCAAAGGAAACAAAGGCGTCGGGCTGTACGGCAGGACTCTGACATATGAAGAAACCAGCTCCCAGGGCAGTCAAGGGAAAGACCCCTCACACACACACACCCTCCATATGGTGCAGGCTCGGGAGACAAATATTCTGGTTATGTTGTCACTGCCCAGGCCAGCCTACCAACCACCCCCTCACCTGCCCTCTCCCTCAGGACAGCTCCAACAACTTTAGAAAGCAGGTCAGTATGTTTACACCCCGTCTTCCGGATGGGGAAACTGAGGCACTTCCAGGGAAAGTGACTCGCCCTAGGTGCCTCACCGTGCCAGTTTCATAGCTGGAATTGCAAGTCCCCACCCGCTAAGCAACACCGCCCCAACTAGGTGCCAGCGATGTTGCAATGCAATGAGGTGGAATACCATCAGGGTGAGCCCCGCTTTACAAAAACCAACAAACCAAGCTGAACGCAAAAGAAAAGAAAAGGCCTTTTACCTTCCACGGGGGACAAAGGGACATGAAATGCTGAAAGGAAAAAACAATGAGATGTCAAATCAACCCTGCAGTGCAACCGGGAAGGGGGTCGGAAGAGGGCGTGAGCCACACCATGAGAACTTAAAGGAGGAAATGGAAGGTGAAGGCAATGAAGAGACATGCAAACACGCTTCCTGCGCTCCCCGGGGGGAATTTAGCGTATGGACTGCGCCGCAGCTGTGTGCCATGTTTGAAACACACACCGCTCCCTCCCACCCGTGCTAGGAGGCTCCGACTGTGTAGACACGGTGTGTGCACGCTGCTTGTAAAACGCACACGTAGAATTCCACGTGCAACATTGGGAAGACTTTTTAAGAAGCTCTCAGAGCG